TTTTTTTTTTTTTTTTTTAGAGGAAAACTCCTTGCTTTCACAAGGGGAATGCTCTGTACCAGTCTGAACCTGTCTTACAGTTCCAACTCTTATAATATTCATTTGCTACTTGTATTTGTATCTTTCAAGTTGTTTTAGCAGCAAATACCAGTATTTAGTACAACAAAACATGATATAAGACTTAGAGCAGTTGCTGTTATTTTGTATACCAACTGTGTACTGAGTATCTAGAAGCCATTCCCACACATGTGAAGATAGTTTCTGTCCTAAAAGGAATTTAGTCTGACACCCCAGTCATGTACTGCCTTCTAAACCAGAGCCCTGCACCCACATGTACTCCAGTCTACTTCAGTGAGACTTCTTCGGGTTGCCGGAAGCCACGTTAGCAAAACATAATGGAGGACTGAGCTTTAAGAAGGCAAGCGATTATAAGAGAAGGAAACAAAGGCCTTGAAATCCAAAAGACTACCTGAGAACACAGTTAGCTCTGTCCATAAGCATGCACAAGCTCATGATCTATACACACTGTACAGTGCACATTATGTGCTTATCTACAGTACAACTAACATTTTCCCCTCCTGATTAGTCACTGTTGATGCTTTACGTTTTGATCATGCAGATTAAATGACGACACTTTGAAAATCAGACTGTTTTAAGAGGTCTCAAACTGGCTACCTAAAATCCCTAATTCATTCACCTTTGTTTTGCCCTGGATTATCCATTATTAATGGACCAACTTCTTGATTATTGTAACAAAGTAATGTACCCAAAGTTCCTTCTTTTTCATTTTCTCCTCTTCAACAGTACCAAAAAAACAGACATCCTCCTTCAAATTAAACTCATGAGAGCAAATTCTGTGTAGCTTGCCATGAATGTCATAAATAAAACAAGCCCTTCATCAGAATGGCTTCAAATGCACAAATAAAAATGCCATATAAAATGCTGTATAGCTCTATAAAAGCATTAAAAATATTGCCACATAGAAAGAACACTTCTGTATGCCATGAATAATATAACCATGCTTCTCGATAAATACATTATTAAAAACTACAAAAGCTATTACCAATGCCTGTATCCCAAATCTAAGATTTTGAAAAGGGGGGTGCACGTGGCAAGGCGCACCATCACATATAACACAACATATTTTATGCAGGTAAAAGAAACTAGAAGTTTTACCAACATGCTTGGAATCAAAG